AGACACCGCCGGAGACACCCGGCGTCCCCGCGCTAGCTCCGCTCCCGGCTGCCGGCCGGTGGCTGGGGTCGGGGCGGCGTCCGCGCCCCAGCCCCTCGTGCCCGTAGACTCTTTTGATACTGAAGGGAGGTTTGCGTCAACGACTACCTGCTCTGTAATTACTTTAAAAAAAAAAAAACACGGAAAAAGTAAAAAAAAAAAAAAAAATTTTTTTTTTTTTGGTCATGAAAGCATGGAGGAGACCCAAAACAAAATGGATGTGGGTGGGGACCACAACGAGGGGGTGGAACTGAAGCCTCATAGGTTCCAACCAGCTTGACTCATCTCCAGGTGGTCTTAGGCGCCCCCCTCACCCCAGACCCCAGAGAGGGTCATGGTCACCCGGTGCACACCTGCTGCTCCCATCGCACCTCGCGGCAGCCAGTCTCTGCTGGGAATTCTCACACTGCCTCCCACATCTCGGCTGACAACATGGCGGGGGGCCTAGGGCTGCAAAGTACCACAGGCTGGGTGGCTTAAAACAACCGCTTGTATCGTGTGACAGTGCTGGAGGCTTCAAGTCCAAGCTCAGGTGCCAGCCTTGCTTTGCAGCATCGTCCCCCAGTCCTTCCCCTGTGTTGACACATCACCTTCCCGCTGTATGTGCCTGTCTGTATCCAACTCGGCCTCCATGCAGGGCCAGGTAACAGGGGATTCGTTAGGAGCCCACCTCCAGGAAAAGCGTCTCTTAACCTGATCATTGGAGACACCCAACCATCAGAGGTCACATTTGAGGTACCAAAGGTCAGGACTTCAACATCTCTTTCCAGATGGCAAAATGCAACCCACGACAGGGTCCAAATCAGAGGGTCGTTCTCCACTGCAAATCCCCACAAGCCTGCTGGGGAATGAAGCAGGTGGCTGAAAGGGGTGGGTGTGACAGGAGGGTGGCTCCAGCTACAGGAGGCCTGGGGAACATCAGGGGAGTTGCAGAGACAGAACAAGTGCCCAGGAAGGGGAAGGGGACTGAACTCGGGGACAGACTCTGGGGTCCTTCCAGAAAGAGTGGTGCTGGGCCAGGCCAGTGGGCAGCTGCAGGGGTGAGTTGGACATCTCCGGGGGTACACAGTCTCCAAGATTCAACCTCAAGAAGGCTGGAGTCCCCAGGGCTGTCATCAAAAGCAGGAGGAGACAGAGGGAAGCAGAGGGAATGAGGAGCCAAGTCACCCAATGGCCCCTCCCCCATTTACTTTGGCACAGCTGCCCCCATATACCGGTGCCCTGAACACCAGGGGGGACACTCCAGCCCTTGGTAGAGGCCACCACATAAGGTGGGGAAGGAGGAAACCCCCACTGCATGCATCTGTGTGCCCCAGAGGGGTCTGGTCAAGGGTCTGCATTCCTGGTGCCTGCCCTCTTTCCTGGCTGTCTCTGTGTCCACGGCATCTTATCTCTTCCCCCACCCAGGGCACTTAAAGTGAATTCTTTCCTTATCTTCGGGGACAGTGCCACCCCTGCATCAACAGTAGGGCCTCTGGCCCTATCTGCCTGTGCCTGTCTCCTCTGGGCAGGTCGACCTGGGACAAGGGCCACTAGCTCGGATCTTTCATGCTTTCTCCAGGCCCTTTCAGTGCAGATCCTGGTTGCCATGGCAACACTGTGGTGGTACCAGGTGGTGGTGGGGGCAGGGAGCCAGGCCTGCTGCAGCTCAGCCATCTCCAGTGCCAGCCCCGCCAGGCCAGGCGCAGGGACTGTGCTGATCCTGGGGGCACTCGGGGACTCCCCAGGCCGCGCAGGTTCCTCCTCTGTGATGTGCTGCTGGTGGGGAGAGGGAAGAACAGACTGAGACGGGGAGCAGGAACACAGGGAGAAGGGGAATATGGGGGAAGCGGCTTCGAGGCTGGGGGGTGAAGGGGGGAAAGACAAGGTGAACTGAAGGACGATGGGCACTGGAGGGAGGTGGGACTTGCCAGGGCTGAGGGGTGCAGAGAGCGCACCCCCTCCATGGGACTGGGGGACACTAGGACCTGGAGCCCCTGCTGCCTTTGGGGAGAAGCAGGGGCACAGCCAGGCAGAGGCCTCCCTCCCACCTACCACTTAGGGGAAGTGGGGAGCGGAGGGGAAAATGAGGACCTGGGAGCAAGGGGACCAGCTGAGGGCCCAGAGTCCCTGTCACTGGCTCCTCTCCACAACCCAAGCAGGATGCAGTTTCCATGACAACCTGGCCAGCCAGAAAGGGGGCGGGGGACTGCAGAGGGAATTTTCCACATCAGCAGGAAGGAGCAGTGTGGGCTGCAGAGGAAAGAACTGCCAGGAAGGCGGGGGCCATACCAGGCCCCGCAGCCCCAAGTCCCCACACCCTCTGCCCTGTCCTCCCAGCCAGCCCAGGGCAGAGGGAATGCAGGGAAGGAGCCTCATCCCGCCCCATTTTGGCAAACCCACCTCCGCCCACTGTGCAGGAGGCTCAGGAAAGGGACAAGGGTCAACTGTCCAAAGATCAGCAGCTGCCCAGGCCAGCTGGGCAGTAGGCAGCACAGGAGCTCCTGCCACAGCCAGCCAGATTCAAGGGCATGGCCCTGGATAAGGCCCCTTGGAAGGTGGGGGTGGTGGGCTATGGCCGCCTTGGTGAGTCGCTTATCATCTTGGGCTCCTTCCTCAGGACCCTTCCCAAAACCACCACAAACACATTTTTTATCTGTGTCCACCTATCCAGTGCCTTCCCAGTCCCTTTCTCTGTCTGTTCCCATCTGGGCCTCTATCGCTGCTCTCTGGGGATGTTCCCCTTTCTCTGTAGGACTCTCTGTCCCCCTCATCTCTGTCCATCTATGTCTGTCTCTCTGGACCTGTCCGTCCTTCCTCCCCCTCCCTCCCCCCCTCCCCTCTCTCTCTCTCTGTCTCTCTCTGAATCTGTCCCTTCTCTGTGTGTCTCTGTCCCCACCCTTCTTCTGGCCCTCATCTCCCTATCTCTGGGTCTCTAGCCCTCTCCTTTCCCTCTCCGCAGGACAATCCCTTGTCTCCCACCTTCTGGCTCAGGGACCCGAACTGGGCCTAGAACTTGTTTTTGTTTGGAATCGCGACCCAGGACGCATGGCAGGGAGCGTGCCCTCTTCTCTGCAGCTCCAGGATCTTGCTGCCCTTGGGGAAAGGTCAGTGGCCTTCAGTGAGAGTGGGGCGTCCTAAAGCTCCTGTTCTGGCCTTTTTGAGCTGTCTGATGTCAGGCAAGTCCCTGACCCTCCCTGGGCCTTGGGTCACTCCAACATGAAAAGGAACAAGCACACCCAGCCCAGGCCAGGGAGACTGACAGCCCTCCACAGACTCTGAGAGAACCTGGGGAGGGGAGGCCTAATTACTCCCCAAGGCCCCCCATCTCTCCCCTCTTCCAGGCACCCTGATCTTGTGGTAGAAGTGGCCCATCCCCAAATAATCCATGAATCTGGGGCACAAATCCTGCGCCATGCCAACCTCCTGGTGAGTCGCCTAAACCCACACCCAAGCCCTGACCCCTTCAGCCATCTGTCCCCTGAACTCAACCCTCCCTACCCCAGGTGGGGTCCCCCTCAGCCCTGGCTAACCAGACCACAGAGAGGCAGCTCCTGGGGGCCTCACACCGCTGGAACCATGCTGTGTTTGTGGCCCGAGGGGCTCTATGGGGGACTGAGGACATCAGCAGATTGGATGCAGCTGGAGGCCTCCAGGTGAGGACCCACTGGGATCCCCAGGGACCAGTAGGGGCTTGCAAAGACCCCAGTCCCCCTGACCACAGCTGTTGCTTCCAGAGCCTCCGTGTCACTATGGCCACACACCCAGATGGCTTCCGGCTCCTGGGACCCCTGGCTTCAGCCCACATCACTGGGCCTCGCACTGTGCTCTATGAAGGTCCTGTCCGTGGCCTCTGCCCATTTGCCCCTCGAAACTCCAACACCATGGCAGCCGCTGCCCTAGCTGCCCCTAGCCTGGGCTTTGACAATGTGATCGGGGTGCTTGTGGCAGATCTCAGGTGAGCCAAAATGAGCAGGGGTTTGGTCTGGGTCCCTGCCAACCAGACTGACTGCCCTGCTTCCTGCAGCCTCACAGACCTACACGTTGTGGACGTGGAGCTGAAAGGCCCCCCAGGCCCCTCAGGCCAAAGCTTTGCTGTCCAAACCCACCGAGAGAACCCTGCCGAGCCAGGCGCTGTGACTGGCTCCGCCACTGTCACAGCCTTCTGGCGCAGCCTCCTGGGTGAGGCTAGACCCTCCTCAGTGTTTAGTGGCCCCTCTCCCTGGGCTCTGGGTGCTTGTTCACAGAGGCTGGGGTCTTGGGCTCTGGTTCTAAGTTTTGCTTCTCTCTGTGAGTCTTTATTTCTGAATCTTCTTAACCTTTCCACTCCACAACTTGAATTTTTTTATGTCTCCATCTCTGTCCATGTCCCCTCTGAAGTCTCTGTCCCACCTTCTGAAGGCCTCTGTCCATACCTCAATCATCTCTCTATCCACACCCCAAGTCAGTCTCTATCTGTCCTCACCACAAGTCTCTGTCTCTGCGTCGCTATCTGTCCACACCCCAAGTCAGTCTATCCATGTGTCCACACCCCAAAACTCTCTGGGTTGTCCTCCTTCTTCACGTTCCTTCCACGTTGGTAGTCCCTTCACTTTTCTGCCCCACCCCCAAGCGTCGGTCTCTTCTCTCCGTCTTTCCTTCTCTCTTTTCCTTCAGTGGTCTTTCATTGTCCATCTTCCCCCCTCTCCCTGCAGGATGCTGCCAGCTTCCCTCCAGGCCTGGGATCCATCTCTGCTGAGAAGCCTCTTTCACCCTTGAGGACATCTTGTCTGACTGATCTCTCCACACCTCTGCCCCACTCTTGTCCCGGCCGCACTTTCCCAGGACTCCCTACTGTCACAGTAAACCAGAGACTTTTCCAGATCTGTCTACCGTCTGCTTCCGTGATTCCCTCTGTGACGTCACTACGTCTGCACATTGTACATTTGACGCCATAGCAATGGGGGGGCCCACACCTCAACAAACCCCCTGGAAACAATCGCGAGAGCTTACGCACTACATTTCCCAGAAGCCTCTGGGTAATAGTGGGCGTGGGAATACGGGAGGGGTCGACCTTTCGAGACACATTTCCGGCACGTGCCGCAGAGACCGACGGAAGTTGTAGACCTGTTTTTTAACGGGTGATAATACACTTCCGGGCCACGCAGCCTGGATATTCCGTGAGGAGAGTTTCGCGGGGGCCGCCGGGAGTCGTAGTCCGGAGCGCGGGTATCGCTGGGAGCTGTAGTCCGTCCCGCCTGTCCAGTCAGTGCCGTGCGGTCGCCTTGCACTCGGAGCCTAGAGCCGCCGCCCAGGGGGATGCGGGAACCCCTGGCACGGGGGAACGGAGAGGCAGGCGGGGTGAGGGGCGTTGCCAGGCAAAGGGCGAGCGCCGCGGTTGCGGTATGGGTCGGGGAAAGGGCTCTAATTATTTGGTGTCCAGGGAGGGGGCCTGTTTGCCATGTGATAGAAAAAGGAGATCCTATTGCTTAGTGACTGGGGAGGGGTCCCTGTTGCCAGGTGACAGAGGAGAGGACCTTGTTTAATGACAGGGGAAGGGGAGTCTTCTGTTGCTAGACAACCCGGAAGGACCCTGTTACCTAGAAACAGGGGAGGAGAGGAGAGAATTCCTCTATTGCTAGGTAATCAGAGGAGGGACTTTGATACCTTGTGTATGGGGGAGATCATCTGTTGCTAGGTAACCAGAGAGAGCTCCTGTAACCTAGGAACAGGGAAGAGGGGGTCCTCTGTTGCTAGGTGACAATGATAGGGACCCTTTTACTTACAGACATGGCAGGAGTGGTTCTCTCTTGCCAAGTGAGCAGAAGAGAGACTTTTTAATTTTTTTGTAAGAATCGCCTCTGTTGCCAGAAGACGGCCCAGGGAACAGGGTCAGGTACCCAGTGTCCTCCCAGGCTGCTCCTAGCCCCACCTTAATCTCCGTGCCCAAGGGGCCTGCTGGGAGGTGGGACCTCTGAGGTTGGCCCTCTAGATCCTGGGCCCCTGAGCACCTTTTCCCCTCCTAACCTTAGCAGGAGCTGAGGACAGCATGTCCCAGGCCCCAGGAGCACAACCCAGCCCACCCTCCGTGTACCATGAACGGCAGCGCCTGGAGCTGTGCGCAGTCCACGCCCTCAACAACGTCCTGCAGCAGCAGCTCTTTAGCCAGGAGGCTGCCGATGAGATCTGCAAGAGGTGACTGTCACCTGCCCTGACTCTCTCAGGGCCGGCTCAGAGAGGCAGAACAGCCCACCTGGGATTCACTGTGGGGCCCAGACATGCTCCTTTAGCTGCCTGAACTGGAGCCTGGGACTAGGCATGGAGATGTTGCTTCTTCCACCCGTCAGTCCCCGCGTCTCAGCCCAGCCAGGCCTCACCCTCTCTTATCACAGACTCTCAGTGGCCAGTTTTAGTCCTCTAGTACATCCTACCCCAGCCTCCGAGCTGACCCTGCCCCTCCCCTCTCCTAGTCCTCTGACTCCCCAGCCTTTCTCTGAGGGAGCATCCCCTTGGCCTGATATCCAAGGCGCTGCATGCTCTGGTCCCTGCCTGCCTCTGCAGCTTCATCTCTCTGTTCTCCTCAAACCAGAATCTCTGCAGCCCCTGAAGGGGCTCCCCTGTGGTGATGCCTTTGGAACTTTGCATTGGCTGTCCTTTCCACCTAACATGGCTCCTGCCTCTTGGCAGCCTTCATGTCCTGCCTCAAAATTTCAAGAATCACTTCTCCATATCTCCTTCTTTCCCTCCTCTGGCCCAACGCTCTGCTGTCTGGACCTTCCACCCAGCCTTCTCCTCAGCCTCCTCACCTCCAGTCTCTCTTCCAACAGTGCCCCATGTGACCCCAGAGAGATCTCTCTATATCCAAGGATGGTCCCGCCTCCCTCCCCCAGCTCCCCAGCATCCTCAGACTGATTGTTATAGGATTCCTTTGTCTCCTCTGTCATTCAAAATAGGGATTAATCTACTCTTTCATGCCAAGGCCATAATGGGGACCCAAAGCAGCCCTGCCTTAAGAGAGGTGGCAAGGGAAACAGGCCCACAGAAACATAAAACTCATTTCCTCCTCCCCCTGCCCTGCCTTCCATGGGCCCAGACAGGGAACAAAGGTACAGTTGTGGAGAGGAGCAGGGCTGAGGGAGACGTGTGGCAGGGTGGGCCCTGGGCGGGGGAGAGCTGGGGGGAACAGCAGGCAGCTGGGACAGGTGGCAGGGAAGGGCCACAAATGCTGGGTGGAAGAGGTGGGGCTCTGCTGGGGAGACAGGCACCTGGATGGCTGGGAGCAGGGAGGGCCGGGTAGCCCTGAGTGAGAGGCGAAGGCCTTAGAACACAGTGGTCTGCCAGGCCTCATGCAGGGGGCTTGGTTCACTGGGGGAGCCAGAGAGCCCCAAGCCCAGCTGGAGGCCAGGAGACTCCCTCAGAGGTAGTGACATCTGAGGTGGAAGGACACAGAAGGAACTGATTATGCTGAGAAGGCTGCTGGGTGGGACTCTGTCCTGGGCTGCTGGGAAGCCACGGGGGGGGGGGGGGGGGGGTGGTGCTGAGAGCAGAGGAGGGATGGGGCAGCTCTGGGCCACGAGGGAGGTGGCTGGAGGGGATGGCTGGAGGCTGGGTGGGGATCCAGGTAGAAGGAGTCAGAAGCCTGAGCTGGAGCCCTGGGAACCGGGGGAGTCAGGACAGGAGGGACAGAACTTGGGGCTGAAGAGAGGAGGGGTCGGAGGGGAAGCCCTGGGACCCTCGTGATGCATGGGAAGGTTGAGACCTTTCCAGGATCCCAGCTCAGACTCTGATCACCCACAACCACCAGGTTGGCCCCAGACTCCCGACTGAACCCCCATCGTAGCCTCCTGGGCACTGGCAACTATGACGTCAATGTGATTATGGCCGCCCTGCAGGGGCTGGGCCTGGCGGCCGTGTGGTGGGACAGGAGGAGGTAGGACCCAGTATCATGCTGTCCTGCCTTGGCAGCACAGTGCTGTGTGGCGGGGGGGGGGGGTGAGGGAGGTTTGCACAGCCTGCGCTGCAGCAGGCGGCTCAGAAGGCGGGTGAAGGACAAGGTGAAGGCCAGACGGTCAGGAGAGGCTGGCAGAGGATGACGAGCAGCACGATGGTCACTAGGCAAATTAAAGGAGGGCGAGTGAGAGGCTGGGTGTGCCTGGCAATGGGTGCACATGGATGGGTGGGTGAGTGATTTAAAGATGGACAGCACGCGTGCAGTGGGTCTCTGACAGGTGGCTGATAACTGGATGGATGGGTGGGAGGTTTTGGTGGGTGAAGGACACCAGGATAAATAGGAGACTGATCAGTGGGTGGTAGTTAGCAGTTGAGGGGGGTTTGGAGGGTGGGTGGCTCGGTGGGATTTAATGCCTGGAGAATAGATGAGCAGGTGGGAAGGTGGCCGTGGCAGGGGTTCTGGTAGGATGGATGGATCATGGAGGATGGGTGGGGTGAAGACTCAGTTGCTGGGTAGGTGGATGAATGGACAGATTGGTGGTGGGTGGAGCTGGTGGGATGGTGGAGGTCTGATTGGCTGGGAGGCTTGAAAAGGTGGACGAATGGATGGGTAAGAGGGGACTGGGGACCACAGAGGCCCACACCATCAAGAACCTCGGTAACATTTGGCCAGCTCATCAAGGCTGGGCAGAGCAGCCTGACCCACGTCCCCTTCCCACTCCCCAGGCCCCTGTCCCAGCTGGCCCTGCCCCAGGTGCTGGGGCTCATCCTGAACCTGCCCTCACCTGTGTCGCTGGGGCTTCTGTCCCTGCCACTGCGCCGTCGGCACTGGGTGGCTCTGCGCCAGGTGGACGGTGTCTACTACAACCTGGACTCCAAGCTGCGAGCACCCGAGGCCCTGGGGAATGAGGATGGTGTCAGGTGAGCCAGGGCAGAAGTGACTGAGGCTGGGGCCTCGATGCTGGAACCCCGCTCTGCCCCAATTAAATGTGCTGGCTGGGCCTCAGTTTCCCCTTTCTCCCATCCAGGGCCTTCCTGGCAGCCGCCCTGGCCCAGGGCCTGTGTGAGGTGCTGCTGGTGGTGACCAAGGAGGTGGAAGAGAAGGGTTGCTGGCTGCGGACAGACTGACCTATGGCCTACTCTACCTGTGTGGCTGCACCCAGCCTGAGTTCCAAGTGCCGGGGAAGGGCCTGCGCTTCAGGCACCTGGAGGAGGCCCTTCCCCTTCCCCACGTTCCCACTCCCCAATGCCGCTGCTGCCTCAATAAATCTGCCAATTTGCTCCCTGCCTGATCTGTGTCCAACTGACCCCCTGCACCTGCTGAGGGTCCCTTTCCATCCGAGAGGCCAGATACCCTAGTGAGAGAGATGAGGGGACAAAAAAATACTGCTACAGTCTGATGTGTGTGGTAGGGTAAGAGCTGAGCAGAATGCGAGGTTTATTTCTTGAGTCTTAATTGGGAGACAGGCAGAAAAATGGTCCCCAGAGATGTTTAGGAATCCCAGAGCCTGGAATATGTTAGGTGACAGCAAGGTTCCAGCAAGGTTGCAGTTGGAATTTGGTGACCCATCAACTGGCCTCACAATAGGGACATGGTCCTGGCTTGGGTGGACCTCATGAGGCCACGGGGGAAGCAGGGGGGAGCTCATCCTAGGTCTGACCTCCAGAGGCGTGAGATAATCCACCAACTGTGGACAGTGGCAGTTCAGGTGGGGTACCAGGCCTCAGAGAAAGGCCACTGGGCAAGGGCTTGAAGAAGGCAAGAGAGGGGCTCGGGGGGGATGTTGGAGAAAGTCCTTCCAGGTGCAAAGCACAGCCCCACAAAAGCCTGAGGACAGAGGGGACAGGGGGAGATGATGGCTGGCCTTTCTGGCCACGCTACAGACCTGGCTCTGACCCAGGAGCCAGGAGCAGAGGAGCCTGCAGTGAGGATCTACCGCATCTCCACTTGAGCCAGGTCTGCCCTTGGGCCTCCTCTGCATGGTCCTGCAGGGCCTCTCTCCCTGAGATGCCCTTGCCCCAGTGGAGCCAGCCTCTGGGCCCAGCCTTGCTGAGGGACACCCTGGGCTGGAGCAGTCAGAAGCCCACCATCCAGGCTCCAGGCTGGGGGACACCCAAGAGGAGGCCAGGTCTCCTGGCCCAGCAGTGTGGGGGCCAAAGGGGGTCTCCCAGGATGCTGTGGGAAATAGCAGAAGGTGAAAGGACAGGGAAAGGGGCAGGTCACCTGCAATGGCACAGAGACAAGAGTGGCCATGGGGAGGGCCTCCAGAATGGGAACCGACTAGGTGAGACAGTGGCAATCCAGGGGGGTGCAGGGCCTCAGAGAAAGGCCACCTGGGCAAAGACAGGAAGAACATCCTCACAAGTGCTGCTGCTCGTCCCAGTAGTTTACCTGAAGAGGTCACGGGGAGAGGTGATCCTGGCCAGGGCAAACCAGGCAGACCAGGCAAACACTGAGGAAGAGGAGGTGATGGATACTGTGCTCGCAGAATGGAAGGGATGAGACAGCTCAGGGCCAGTGACATCCAGGAGGTAGATTCAGGGGTCGCAGAGCTGTCCTCAGAGGTGAGAGTGTGAGTAGAGGGAGAGAAGCAGGTAGAGAGAATCAGGCTGAACCTGGGGACCCCCTTACATGCCACCCAGGAGGGTGGAACCAGTGGCACAGGGACACTGGGGACACAAGGCAGGAGGGAACCTGGTTAGGTGTGACTCCCCACCTCAGCCTCCATCTGGAAGCCACCAGGCAATAGAGTACCCCAGGACCACAGATGCCACACCCTGATGCCAACATGGGCAGGGCAGACGCCATGCAGGACGTCTAGTGAACCCTGGAGACACAGAGGCTCAGTAGCAGGTCCCAGCTTCCCAGATTTCTGAAGTCAGAAGTCAAGTTGTAACGTGAAAGACAATATGACACAGGGACAAGCTGCTGGGGCAGCCCGGCAGGCTTCCCGGCTTCCCTCCCTCCCCTTCCCCGCCCCACCGTCTCAGCGCCCTAGGAGTGTTTCTGTGCCTCTGCCTTAATCCCCGCATTTCCCGTCACCTCAGTCCCTATCTCCACTGTCTCTTTCTCTCAGCCCAGATTCTCTGTTCTTATCTCTCACCTTCCTGGTCTCTGGATTTTTCTCAGCCTCTATCGCCCTCCTCCCTGCCCCCTCACTCATGCCTGTCGCCTGTCCCATCCTTGGTGGCAGACAGCTGCCTGGACTCCTGAGTGCTTCTATTCTTGGTCTGAGTGGCAACAGCTGTGACCTCCCAGGTGCTCCCTCAGCTGTGGCCAAATAAGGCCCGGAGCGGGAGCCCCGACCCAGAGGGGCCCCGGGACCCTGGCCGTGCGCAGGTGCGAGCTGGGCGTGGGCACCTCCTTTGCCCCGCACTTGCTGAGGCCGCCCATCCTCCCCACCCCCGCCCGCTGGCGCCCCAATGCTCAGGGAAGCGCCCAGGACTCGAGGCGCCCCTGACTGCTGGAGTCGGCCAATCCCAGAGCTGGGGGGCTCCCAAGAGGCCCCCGCGCGGACCCCAGGGCCACGGGCGCCAGGCTGCAGGAGGGCGGAGGTCACGGGGAGGCGGCGGGCGGGGCTGGGGGGTGCAGCTGTCCCGCCGGCGCCGGTGCCGACAGCTGAGGCCCGATTTAGCTCCCAGGGCCCGGGTCTGGCCAGATAAGGCGACGCGGGGCGGGCCGGGCCCCCAAGCGCCCCTTTAAATTGCGAGGCCCAGCGAGGGCGGTGGCTGCCGCCGACGCCAGGTGAGGGGCTGCGGCCCGACGGACCGCCCTGCCGCCCGCGCTTTCATCTGTCCCCGGCTCTGCGGGGTTTCTGCGTCTGCCCGCCCTCCCTCGGTCTCCCCCACGCCCGTCCGCCCCTCCGTCCCCCTCCCGGCGCTCTCTGGCGCTTCTCCCTCGCTCGAGTTCCTCCTGCCCGCCCCTGTGCCTGTGCCCAGAGCCCCGCTCCCTGCCCGGCCGCCTCCCTCTCCCGCGTCCTCCCTGTCCCTCCCTGTCCCGCGTCCTCCGCTCCTTCCGTCCCTCTGCGCCGCTTTCCCTCCGTCTCCCTCCCTCCCCCTTCTCTGTTTCTCTCTCTCCCTCTCCGTCTCTCCCTCCCCAATCTTTCTGTTTCTCCCCTTCTTCTCCCTCTCTCCCTCCCTCCGTCTCCCTCCCTCCCTCTTTCTCGGGTTCTCTATCTCCCTCTCCCTCCTGGTGTCTCTCTCTCTCCCTCCTGTCTTCCCCTCTTGCTCTCCTCCTGTCTCTCCCTCCCTTCTTCCCTCCCTGTCTCTCTCCCTCTCTCTGTGTGTCTCTCTCCCCATTCTGTCTCTCCCCATCATCTCTGTCTCCCTCACTCTCTCTCTAGCCCTCCTTCTCTCTCTCTCCCTCTCTGTGTCTGTGTCTCTCCTTCTCTCCTTCATCTTTCTCTATCCCTCTCTCTCCTTCTCTCTGTCCATCTCTTTATTTCCCATCCCATCTCTCTCAATCACTGTTTCCCTCCACCCCACCTCTGCCAATATCTCTATCCCCACCACCCCATCTCTCTCCATCTCTGTCTCCCCACACACCATCTCTCTCCATCTCCCTGTCTCCCCCACCCCATCTCTCTCAATCTCCCTGTCTCCCCCACCCCATCTCTCTCTACCTCTCTGTCCCCCCCCAACTCTCCATCTCTGTCTCCCCCACCCCATCTCTCTCTACCTCTCTGTCCCCCCCCAACTCTCCATCTCTGTCTCCCCCACCCCATCTCTCTCTACCTCTCTGTCCCCCCCAACTCTCCATCTCTGTCTCCCCCACCCCATCTCTCTCCATCTTTCTGTCTCCCCCACCCCATCTCTCTCCACCTGTCCCCCCACCCAATTTCTCTCCATCTCTGTGTCTCCCCCACCCCCTCTCTCCATCTCTGTCACCCCCACCCCATCTCTCTCCATCTCTGTCTCCCCCCACCCCATCTCTCTCCATTTCTGTCTACCCCAACCCATCTCTCTCTACCTGTCTGCCCCTCCACCCCATTTCTCCAACTCTGTCTCCCCCCACCCCATCTCTTGATCTCTATCTCCCCCAACCCCATCTCTCTCCATCTGTCGGCCCCCCACCCCATTTCTCCATCTCTGTCTCCCCCACCCCATCTCTCCACTCTGTCTCCCCCACCCCAACTCTCTCCATCTCTGTCTCCCCCACCCCATCTCTCTCCATCTCTGTAGCCCCCCACCCCACCTGTCTCCATCTCTCTGTCTCCCCCATCCCATCTCTCTCCATCTCTGTCCCCTACCCCATCTCTCTCCATTTTGGTCTTCCCCACCACATCTCTCACCATCTCTCTGTCTCCCCCACCCCCTCTCTCTCCATCTCTGTCACCCCCACCCCATCTCTCTCCATCTCTGTCTCCCGCTCTACCCCATCTCTCTCCATCTCTGTCTCTCCCAACCCCATCTCTCTTCATCTCTGTCTCTCCCAACCCCATCTCTCTCCATCTCTGTCTCTCCCAACCCCATCTCTCTTCATCTCTGTCTCTCCCAACCCCATCTCTCTCCATCTCTGCCTCCCCCCACCCCATCTCTCTCCATCTCTGTCTACCCCAACCCATTTCTCCATCTCTGTCTCCCCCACCCCATCTCTCCATCTCTGTCTCCCACCACCCCATCTCTCTCCACCTATCTCTCTCACCCCATCTCTCTCCATCTGTCTCCCTGACACCATCTTGCTCCATATCTGCCTCCCCCACCACATCTCTCTCCATCTCTGTCTCCCCCTCCACCCCATCTCTCTCAACCTCTGTCTCCCCCCACCCCATCTCTCTCCACCTATCTCTCTCACCCCATCTCTCTCCATCTCTCTGTCTCCCCCATCCCATCTCTCTCCATCTCTGTCACCCCCACCCCATTTCTCTCCATCTCTGTCTCCCCCACCCCATCTCTCTCCACCTATCTCCCCCCATCTCTCTGTCTCCCCCACCCCATCTCTCTCCATCTCTGTCATCCCCACCCCATCTCTCTCCATCTCTGTCTCCCCCACCCCATCTCTCTCCACCTATCTCCCCCCATCTCTCTGTCTCCCCCACCCCATCTCTCTCCACCTATCTCCCCCATCTGTCTCCCCCATCCCATCTCTCTCCATCTCTGTCACCCCCACCCCATCTCTCTCCATCTCTGTCTCCCCCACCCCATCTCTCTCCACCTATCTCCCCCCATCTCTGTCTCCCCCACCCCATCTCTCTCCATCTCTGTCTCCCCCACCCCATCTCTCTCCACCTATCTCCCCCCATCTCTCTGTCTCCCCCACCCCATCTCTCTCCATCTCTGTC